GCTTTTTCAGGTTTTGGATAGTCACTTGTCAATTTAAAGTAGTTTTTATGTAATATATTAAATATGAGCAGAAGAGCTATTTTGCAGAAAATGGTCAAGATAAAAATGCTTCAWTTTTGAATAAAATGGAGGAAATCGAAGTGAAAGTTGTATGCCAACCAGGACAAATCTCTTGCTCATATCAAGATGCAGTCACAGCTGCAATGATCTGCCATTGAATTATTAATAATGAAATAGTTGATATAGTTCAAGAGGGAGTGTTTTCCAGGTAWATATTAATTGAAAAAAACTTATCTTAATGGCTATGCTAGTATTATATTCCCCCTGGGTATCCTCGCTCACAATCACCTTGGGTACATTTAGTTATGGGAGAAATTGCCCRAAGGTGAGAGGGAGCGAAGCTCCCTGGAAACGTTGTATCACCGTCATCGCTGCGGGGAGGAGGGTGGGTCGACATCGTCGTTTCGGTTTCGAATTTTACGAAATGAATGAGAGATATAACTCACRCTAAGGTAATTATACGCGTAGAACCCACCTGATTGGCTCACAAGSCCCCCAGGGATTGGTGGATTACGAAATTGTACTAATTATGGTGATTTGAGTGCGAACATACCAGTGAGAATAGTATTATATTCCCCCTGGGTATCCTCGCYCACAATCACCTTGGGTACATTTAGTTATGGGMGAAATTGCCCTACGGTAACCTGTCCCCAACAGCTACCTGTGGAGCAGGTAACAGCTAAGATATGCCCAGAATCGGGCTTCGGACTACCATGTGGACAGGTTTATAGGCAACTCCTCCTCATAACTCAGAATCCCCCTCCAACTAATATGAGGGGTAGCTATACAAAACGGCAACTACTGAAAGACTGGTCGAAGCCCAGCAAGACTATTGTACAGTCTAAAATCCGCAATAGCGTTCTCTGTTTCTGCCGCTGGTGAAAACGGCAGGCCTCTCCCACTGGCTAAAAGCGATGATGGGCTGTCTTTTCCCAAGATCTTCTTGAGATCGTTATAGTGCTCTACCATTCCAGGCGAACGCCAACCAATGTGTTAAGCGATATCTTCCCTGGCGACTCCTAGTAACTCCAGAGTAATAGAACAACCTGAACGGCAACTGTGGGGTGTTTCTSCTTCGTCGATACCTATCGATTTCAAGTAATTCTTGAGCCTATTATACACCGCGCTACCGGTGAATGTTTCCGCAGAGATGTGGCCTCGTTTGGTAGTTKTTCTGTATAAGAAACCCGCCGAGATGTCAATCTGGATGGCGCKACACACCTCCACATAGATCTTAAARCTAGACACGGGAYATGTCTCGATACATCTTCCGGGACGTACGGCAAAGACATGAGTGTTTGAGNTTAAGAATCTCTCATCGTGACACATTCTCGGTTTTGATGGCTCTATGGTAATCGGCATGACGAGGTGCGGAGAGTCCACCGTGCCTACCCTCCCCCACACTAGTAGAGAGCCATTTGCAACCCTTTCAAGTATGGTGGAACTAATAAACTCCTCGAACTGCGAGCATATTGGACTGTTTCCGAAGCTAGCTCGGGGCGGTGACGGGCTGTTATAGGACGTTCCCTGAAAATCTCCCTTGAAGGGTACAAATAGCCCTTCTGTTTTCACTCCATGCTTCAAATACGAGAGGATCTCTGCACGCTTGGGGCTATCCTCTAGGTAATGTTCCCATTGAGCCATGTGATTACTCAGCTCCCCCGCAACAAACTTCTCTGGGTTCCTGAAGGTTATATCCCTTGGGGAGGCTTGGAGCTTACCCTCTGCTACCGACTCTACCGGGGGTGCGGGACCCGCAACGCAATCGGTTTCCCCTTTCCAGTTGCACCATTCCACACTTCGTTTGGTGACTAAGTGGGGGTCGAACGTGACATGCCCTCTCTTGGAGTTAGAGACCTAAAGGAAAACAGGACATACCTATAACCCCCCTTAAAAAACAAAATCTCTAGGGCCCGAAAATACCCCGTCGAAACAGAGTAATTAAAGGCATTAGACAGCCCCTTTCGAGACAGGCTTGACGATTCCGTTGACCGGAGACATCAACGAGACACAAAAAAAAAACAACCACTAGGTTCATATTTTAGGTACATGGTAAATTTATTTTTAAAGTGCCACACGTGAGTTACTACATCAAGCATCCAATTGTACACGTGCTACCAGCAATACAGTTCAGTTCCTTCCCTGGTT